GGTTCACTCTTTCCTTTCCTAGGTCTGCTAAGTATTCAGTAACTAGTGTTCTGCAGTCACGCGTAACCTTCTGTTAAACAATACTGTTCTGCGGACTCTTTCACCTTTCCGTTCCCTCGCCTTTTTCTACTTGGGAATAGATTAACTGAAAACCAATGTCAGAGTCCGAGAGCAATTTTTAATTTTCAGCAGGGGCCAGGACTCCCTGGCGCGCGTCCTGGCCAATGAAGACCGCGCACCAGGGAGGTGTAAACGTACCTGCTGTTGTTAAAGTGTTGATTGGTTGCTGTGGTCCCTTAGCACTGGGCCCACTTCACTGTACAGAGTTCTTTCACTCCTTCTTTTTGCTCTTGCTCTTCTCTCGCTTTCGTTTCTTCTAGAAGTTTGTTAGGTTGTAAGATCCCCCTTTATTGTTGGGTTGGATGCTTTTGGATGCATTTTATAAACTTTGGGCCCTATAAAATGCTCAGAGAGAGAGAGTGGATTTTCTATAAAATGCCAAATTGAGCAAAAAGCATCCAAACTATAAAATGGGGAAGGTGGATTCTGAACATTGAGCAGCAAAAATTGCGAAAACAAACAGCAGGCCTATATAATGCCCATGATGGGTTCACCATAGAAAATATACCAAAAAACACTCTGTCTATATAATGCGACGCGTGGGTGCAAGCACAAAAAAAGGCGAACGGCAAGCCACAATTTCCAAAACTATGAGCTGCCAAGACAAAAGTCGGACAAGACAGGACATGAAGGGAAGACATGAAGGGGACGGAAACCGCTCCCGGGGCACCGTTCCCTCCCCCGTTGCGGGGCGCAGCCGAAAGGTCAACCGCTCTCTCCCCTTAAGGGAGGAGACACAGAGACAGGGGGAAAGAAAAAGTAGAAAAAGTAATTGTTAATTGGTAAATATTTGGCGGATCATATTCCTTCAGTTCCTTTCTTCCATTGATGTTTAGAGTTTGGACATTGCCCCGGCCCACTAACAGTGAGCACAAAGATGGGCACCACCAAGCGCACGAGAAAATTGGACCCCAAAAGCGGGTTTCTAAATTTGAAAAGTCATCTACCTAAACTGAATAGTCCCATTATATGTTGGCAGCACCTTTTTCTCCTTCATACCTTTGCCACTGGTCCACTGCTTTGGTGCTCTACATGGCACACTCTTGTGCCCAAGCCAACAAAGCCTTGCAAGGCTGCGCGCCCTGGTCTTCTCCAAGCCTTTCTTGAACCTGGGTTGGGGCTGGCTTGCTCTGGGGAGGTCCGCTAGCAAAGTAAAAGTCCGGCTAGGGCTGGGCCTGGGGCTGGCTGGGCTGGGCTGGCTTGCTCTGGGGAGGTCCACTAGCAAAGTAAATGTCCGGCTAGGGCTGGGCCTGGCGCTGGCTGGGCTGGGGCTGGCTGGGCCGGGGCTGGCTTGCTCTGGCGGCTGGGGCCAACTAAAGTAAATGTCCGGCCCCGGTCAAATTTTGGCTCCGGAGTTGTGCTTTTCTGGCGCTCCTCCAGGCTCCGGAGTTATGCTTTTCCGGCGCCAAAAAGCACGAGAAAAAGCACGAGAAAAGGCACCAAAAAAGCACAAGAAAAGGCACCAAAAAAGCACGAGAAAAGGCA